CTCTCTATTGTTGTGTGCACTCTTCAATAAAGAGCTTGTATTGGACCTTGCTGGTGTTGCCTGTCTCTCTCTCTGTGGTCAGACAACGAACGGTGCTGTCTGGGTTAAAAGTCCCCGACAGGGACAAAAATAGGAAAAGAGAATATAGACAAATGATCTTGAGGGTGAACATTCAGCTGTGTGCTTAGTGAATATAATTTTGGAGTCTATGAACAGAGGTATGAACACAAAAGGAACAGTAGATACAATAGAAAGAATTGGGTAAATGTGTGTTTGGAATAACCTGTTAGATTTTTAATCATATAAGAAGGATTGGAATCGTTGGTTATTTAGAAGAGGCCCTGGCCAGGGCAGACCCTAGGGGATTCTCTAACCTTTGTCAGTTGACAGCAGTCCCTAAAGAACTGTCTGCCAAGTGAGGATAGTCATGGTACAACACTCAGGCCACCTCTTTATTATTCCTTGCCCTCAACAGACCCTTCACTATTACCAATGCACCCCCTGCAGTAAAGGCTGCAAGGGAGGTGGGTATAGGAGCTGGGTACAACTAATAGTTGACTCCCTAACACTGGGGCAATCCCTATTACGGAAGATAGGCTACTAACATTCAGGTGACCAACATTTGCAGGCGACATTTGCTACAGTTAAGTATCAAAGGGGTAGCCGTGTTAGTCTGGATCTGTAAAAGCAGCAAAGAGTCCTGTGGCACCTTATAGACTAACAGATGTATTGGAGCATGAGCTTTCGTGGGTGAATACCCACTTCTTCGGATGCATGTAGTGGAAATTTCCAGAGGCAGGAATAAATATGCAAGCAAGAGTGAGTCAGGCTAGAGATAACAAGGTTAGTTCAATCAGGGAGGATGATGCCCTCTTCTAGCAGTTGAGGTGTGAACACCAAGGGAGGAGAAACTGCTTTTGTAGTTGGCTAGCCATTTACAGTCTTTGTTTAATCCTGAGCTGATGGTGTCAAATTTGCAGATGAACTAAAGCTCAGCAGTTTCTCTTTGAAGTCTGGTCCTGAAGTTTTTTTGTTGCAGGATGGCTACCTTTAAATCTGCTATTGTGTGTCCAGGGAGGTTGAAGTGTTCTGCTACAGGTTTTTGTATATTGCCATTCCTTGTATATCTGATTTGTGTCCATTTATCCTTTTACGTAGGGACTGTCCAGTTTGGCCGATGTACATAGCAGAGGGGCATTGCTGGCATATGATAGTGTATATTACATTGGTGGACGTGCAGGTGAATGAACCGGTACAACAGGGATGGAGCAGAAGAGAGAGTCTGCCTAATTTATATCACTGTAGGCTGTCCCAGTTTAATTATCTACAAGGCTGGTAAATCAGTAATTACACCTAGATACAATGGTGATGGGTGTGGTATAAGAACCAGAATAGAATAGGATAGATACTACAAAGATTGGTGCTTTAGATAAACTGACTGAAACAAACCAACCAACCCTGAACTGCTCTTAACAACAGTTGCAGTTTTTGGAAACACTAGATAACCTGTAGTATGTACAAGAAATGTTTACTTTTGTGTGAAAAGTTTACAATAAACTTTTAATTCTGTCTCCAAAATATACTCTTTAATAACTGATAGAAAGAACTATTTCAGTTTACATTCAGTGGAAACATTACTTATTATACCATGTAATTTTGCATACTCAAGCCAATATTGATAGATGCACATTCACTAGGTTTTAGGACATCTTTTTTTATAACCCATGCAACCTAAGGGCATGTCTACATCATGGTGTTGCAGCAATGCCGCTGTAATCCATAGTGTATATGTTTTCTGCAACAATGGAAAGGATATTTCTGTCAAAGTAGGTAATCCACTTCCCTGAGTGATGGTAGCTAGGTCAACAGAATAATTCTTCCCTGAATCTAGCCACTTCTACACCAGGGGTTAGGTCACCTTAACTACGGTACTCCAGAATGTGATTTTTTCACACCTCTGAATGATATAACTAGGTCAATCTAAATTTTAACTGTAGACCAGGTCTCAGATAGGCAATTGCATAATAAGCTACACCATGTAAATTCTCTATTGCATATCCCTGTGCAACCTCCTGAGTAGATTCTTCAAATTATGCAGCAGTGTGCATTAGTAGATTAGAGAATAGACTCAAATTCTAACTATTTGACCATCTGGGGCTAGTATCACAAATTTTCCACTGAACTGGCATAGGAAAACAGACAGCTACTTATATTCTCATCTTAAAACATTGTAAAAGATACATGTAAATACTTACATTTTGGGATCAGAATATACCAAGTAAAAAGCAACTTTTATTGAAGGAGGAAAGGATGAAAAGAAATGCTTCTATAAATATTATTGTAATTCTAATAAAATTGGACTTACAAGGGGAAAAATATTGTGTCACTTAGTGGTGAATCAGGCCCCAGGATTTCATCTTCTTTGTTCATAGCTTTTAGAACAACTGTGCTAAACCACTTAATCTCTTTGATTATCTCTCATATTTCTTCATTGGCATCAGCTCAAATGACACCTATACTAAATTCAGAATCCAAATCCAAGGCTGTTCAGCTGTGAGCTCTGTGCTTTTACAAAACAAGTCCTAAATTTTTTCATAGGCATAGAAAACATAAAAGTCACCTAAAGTGGTACCAGTTTCCTGCCCATAGTGGCTCACACTGATTGATGCTTCTGTTTAACATGAACCACTGGTAGTAACTGTGGGATTTTTTGTGTGTGTGTGTGGCAAAAAAGCCTGATACAGGCATCTACAAACGCTGCTGCTACCTGTGAACAAGTGAATCTGAAATGGTGATAGATCACTTGCTTAATGTAATAATAGTTTTTTTTATACATATACTATCTATCTGCACATGTAAATCCCCAAAGCACTTTACAAATATTTATTAAGCCAAACTGGTTCTCACTTTTTGGCTATGATCAAGTAGAATTAAACTTCACAATGGTTTTAGGAGGTACGTATTATCCCCATTTTATGGATGGATAAACTGAGGCAGAGAGCGTTTAAGTGACAACCAAAGTGGCACAAGAAATTAGGGGCAAATCTAGAAGTAGTATCTAAGAGTCCTGATTCTCTGTTCCCTAGTCTAACTACTAGACACACTCCATCTGCAGACTCTCAGGCCTTGATTTCAATAGGAGTTAGGTGCCTAAATACCAATGAGGATCTGGGCTTACTCTGAATTTATCAGTACAAGATTGAAATATTAAAAAGCCAGACTTCATTAATAAAAAAGAACAGTTCCAGCTACCAACTAATGTAAATACATTTCATACCTCCTTCATATGTTTGAATCTGAGTCTCATTTTCACTAAGGCCACCGCTCTTACTTTCACTGCAAAAAGAGGCCTTAAAGTAGATATAAATTACATTTACACTTACTACTGCCAGAGCAATGTTAGGGGGCCTTGGGTCTTATCTGCAAACAAAAGTTGTACCATTTTAACTAAATTAGTTTAGAAATGTTCTTCATTAAATTGATGCAATTCCCTTGTATAGAAACTCTTAAATTGGTTTCAGACTGCCCCATATTGATTTGACAAGTCAGTAATTAACTGACTTAAGCTAAACTAAAATAATGCACTCAAACCAATTGAAGAGTACCCACTTCTCCAAGAACACCATAATAATTGGCACTAGTTAGAATCCTTATTGGGCTTCTTATTAGCTGCCTCATCTGAATGAATGGGTGTGGAAATGTAATGACATCTCAAACTAGTAGTTCTGATTGCTCCAGAACAGGTATGTTGGCAGGTATGGAAATGTGCACTACAGTTGCCTGTGTTGTAACTATCAATACCTTTCATCTCCATGCCTATCAACCCAGGCAAGCATTATGCAGTGGAACTGTGTCATGGTCAGGAAGGATGGAGGAATCCTCCAGTGGGTGACAGATCACCTATGCAAGAGCTGCATGATTGGGGTTGTTGAGTCTGCTGAGACAACCCCCTCACATTCAGTGAGTGGATCTGCATAGTTGAAGACCCACTGGCCATGCCACACGTAGCAGATTGTGATCAATGGGATTTGCCCTCTAGCAAGGAGTGAGAAAGCATATCCCTCCTGTGGGTGACTGAGCTGGGCAAGGGTGGACGTAGCCTCCTGATTCAACATGTGCCCCATCCTGTAGTAAAGGAGGAACAGAGGAAACCCACAGAAGTACCCCCTCCACCTCTAAACCCAGCCTGGTATGGAGAGGAAGGGGTCAGGGTTGGACAACAAGCCCTCTACTGCAGGGCAGAGGTAGGCCTGGCTCCCGCTACCAGGCTTTGCTACCTGGCACACAGGGTTGGAGCAGATCACCACTTGGGTTTGGCACCCTGGGTTTCATGATTTCCGTGGGTGCACATGAACCCATGCTAAAGCCAGCCCTGGAGCTAAGCAACCTTGAGCAGTTTCCCTTAATGGGAGCTTAGTACTCTGGGGTTTGCTTTGATTTTGTGAGGGTCAGGGACTGTCTCCCCTGTTTGTACAGCAAGTAGCACCCAGGCTTGAGCTGTAACCCGGTACTTCAATACAAAGCTTAGAGGTTTTTAAGGCCCAGCTTGACAAAGCCCTGACTGGGATGATTTAGTGAGTGTTGGTCCTGCTTTGAGCAGGGGGTTGGACTAGATGACCTCCTGAGGTCCCTTCTAACCCTAATATTGTATGAGTCTAATGCTATAATAAATAATAAAAATCAGCTAGATCAAACCACCGGCAAAGCTCAAAGCCAGTTGCGGGTGTTGCACGCAGTTTCCCAGCCAGCCAAGACACTGCAGCCCAGGCGTGCGTACCCGGCACCAGGGCCAAGCTCCAGCCTCCCCGTGCGCTAGCTATGACAGAACCGCTGCTGCCTCGGCTAAAGCAGCCGGGAGCCGACGCAGAAAAGGCAGGTGGGACCCAGCTGCCTAGAAATCACCGACAGGGAGCGCCGGCGGGTGGGGCGAGGCTGGCGTGGAGGCGGGCTTAAGGCCGGTAGCGGCAGGCAGGGCGGGCCAAGGCCTGGGCTGCACCAGGGAAACCGCGCCCGCCCGCTGCGGGAGGGGAGTCGCCCGTTAATAGAGCTGGGGACTGCAGTGGGGGCGCTACAGCCGGGGGAGCCCAGCCCGGCAGCCGGCGGAGATGGCGGCGGGAGCAGCTGCGGGGCCGCAGCGGGAGCTGGATAACGTGAGCATCGGGGCGCAGTCCGGCAATGAGGTCTCTGCCCGGCCGGCGCAGCACGCGGGGGTCCCCGAGGGGTCGCGGGGGGCGTGGCTGTGCGGTGTGCTCGGGGGTGTGGGCCCCCGGGCTCGGTGGCAGCCCCCTGTAGCGTCCATTCCGCAAATGCAGGCTTGGAGGCAATCAGATTCCCTGGGTTTTCACTCTTGGCTGCGCCTGCCTTGCCTCTTAGGAGCGTGGGCCCGTGCATCGGGACTCTGCACGGGAAGTCATGGGGCTGGGTCCTCGCTTGGCCAGCCCTGCACAGACTTCTCATCATGTGACATGTGCCTCAGTTTCCCCAACTGCACAGTCAGACTAATGATTCTACTCTTGTAAAAGTGCTCTGGAGGCTTTTTTTAAAAAGCAGGCGAGAAGTTCCTATAACAACAAACTAGCATCCAGCAGGTAATCTTACTGTTGCTGATTTACTCTTCCCCTCCCTCCCCCTGCCCTGGCTTTTTAACTATTAGTTATTTTGAAATGACTTAAGAAATCTTCCTTACAACGTGGGTCCAACGGAGTACAAGTAATTTACACCTGCCTTTTAAACTGATGTGTTGGAAAACAAAAGGCAGCCTGAATCTGTTTGCTTATTAGAAAACCAAACAGATTTATTATATATACAAATTATACCAAAGTTTATTCAACAGAGGAGTCTTTTGTTTGTGGTTTTGTGTAGCTCCTCCGTTTTCAGAACACTATATGGGCTCAAGAGGCCTGTGGGGATGGATGCAAGCGGGGAACTCCCATAGTGAAGTGAAATACGTGTGGTGGGGTGGGTAAACAGGATTGAGAGCAGCTAAAAGATAACTTTTCAGAGTAGCAGCCGTGTTAGTCTGTATCCGCAAAAAGAACAGGAGTACTTGTGGCACCTTAGAGACTAACAAACATGCATCCGAAGAAGTGGGTTGTAGCCCACGAAAGCTTATGCTCTAATAAATTTGTTAGTCTCTAAGGTGCCACAAGTACTCCTGTTCTTTTTTTTAAAAGATAACTGTAGGTGGATCAAATGGGCTTTTGTACGAAGGAGTGGTAGTTATGTTAAACTCCAAAACTGAACAATTTAAAACTCATTCTGAAAAGGCTTTTAGGACAGAGGCTCTTTATTTATGTTCCTACATAATCTCTTCCTGTTGTCTCGTTTGGGCTCTAATAGGGAACACTCTTTGCTTTTTTTGTAAGCATGTAAAATACTGATTGCTATTTTGATGCATGATTGATTTTTCAAACAACATCACTTGTAGGGGATACCACTTCTGTGTGTGTGTGTATATATATGTGTGTGTATATATATGTGAGTGTGACAAAGATACATCACAGAAGCAACTTCACTGCATAAACTTAAGTAACAGCCCCAACCCCCACCCAAATTAATGATGATTATCTATAGTACCAAACTTGGTAATGCTGCTTCCTTAAGAAGGACGTGGAGGAAGTGGAATGGCCAGGAAACTTAAGTTCTCTATTTAATACACAAAAGACTCTGACCTTAAAATATATAAGCTGTTGATATAGTACAGTGCCCTTCGAGAACAGGACCCAGGCCTTCCACGATGCCTGAGCTCAAAAGGTAGAGAAATATGCTCCTTTGGCTGAAACCTTGAGAGCTAAGGGTTACCAGGTCCAGGCACCTGCACTGATTGTCAGAGCTTTAGGCGCATGGGACCCCAGTAAGGAGCGAGTGCTGAGAGAATGTGGAATCAGTCAACACTCTGCTCAGCTGATGCAGCAACTCATGGTGTGGGATACAGTCAGGTGGTCAAGGGACATCTACATAGAACACATCACTGGACATCCTCAATACCTGGAGGGATGAGCTGGAGTGCCGATGAGAAGTGCAGTCAGGAAAGTAACCAATACATTCCTCATGGATTGTATTTTCTAAGTAGACAACCAACCTAATCCTCAATTACTGAGGGACAATCTCCACTCATTGATATATTTTGCTTTCCACAGCTAAATCCCCGTACAACTTTTCATGAATGATGTACCCGAATATTTGGATTCTATTATCTAAACTGTATTGTTAAATCTATTCACCTATATTTGGATTATTGCTAATTAGGTACTCTTATGTATCATATAACTTTAACTTTATACTTGTGGATAATATAAGCACTATACCCAGATGTACAGACACTCTTTTCCCAACCTATATATATATATATATATATATAATATAATATAATATAATTTTTTTAACATTAGCTTTAATAAAATTTTAAAATCTGCATTTGGCTATTCAGATGCACAATCTCTACAAACAAAATGTAGATAACTTCTGATTCTGGCATGGAAATATGGCTGGAGGGTTTTGGAAGCTGGGGATCTATGGTGTGAGAGTAACTAGAATTAGTATAAAGAGATGCTTTTGTACTCTTGAAACCATAACTGCAGTAGCAAGCCACAAATGTGACTTCCCTGCATCTTTCTCCTCCTGAGGGTGCCCCCCCCCGCTTTGACCTAGAAAGGTAGCCCAGGCCTCAATAAGTGAACTGCACTGTAATGATAGGTTTTCTCACAGATCACCCTGATGGCATGACAAGTATCTTGGAAGCTATCAGATTTAGCCATTCATGTAGAAACTAAGAGTACTATGCTGACTACAGTAGCAAAGATTAATGTCTGAAAACATAGAATTGTCATGGGTTAGTAGTGCTGGTAAGAGGGGGAAGTGATACATACTTGTAGGTATTTTTTGCTGTTCACATGAAATTTTCAAAATTACACCCACATCTTGTACTCTTCAGTCAGTTGAAGGTGAATATTCACACTTCTGATTTCATTTGTATTATAGTAACATGGGAGCACTGTGTTAGTGCTTTTATTTTGACGGAATGAGAGGCTAGGAAACAGGATGGTAGCTGGAAAGATCTTCAGAGTTGAGTATTGGTGTCTTGAAATATAGTGTGGCCAATGCTCATTTTTCATGGAGTTTGATAGTCAATGCTCCTTCAGAGAAGGACATCTATTTGTTCTTCACTGGTTTTTCACCAGCTGGGAGATGCATAAATCAGTTCAACAGGTTGAGGCACTAATACTCTCTTCTCCTCCTCTTCCCCCCCCCCCCCCGAGCTTCTTTCGCTTCAGCATGTGTTATGGGGCCAAACTCAGTTAGAAAATGCCATCCTAACCAGCATTCCTATCCCAGTTAGCTCTCTGTACTTCACATGTTACCCAAGCATCAGCCACAGTGAAAGAGGTTATGGGTTGACTTAGCGAGTTGACCAAGCAATATAGCTCTGCTTGTTGTGATTCTGCCATGTTAATTGCAGAGGCTAGTTTTGCCTTCTTTAAGGCAATGATGCAGTCATGTAAGTGTCTGCACTATTGGCAGAGGAGTTCAGAGTTTTGTGTGGGGTTTTTCTTTCCTTTGCCCCAATGGCTTTCTAAACTTCTCACTCTGCACTTCATCTCCCACAGTTCATCTGTGAACCTTGGTGATTTTCTTGGTTGATGTGGATATTGTGCTGGTTTTGTTGACTGCTAACCTTACAGTCAGCAGTAGAACCCAGGTGATCATTTTCTTCTTATCTATTTAAGGATGTTACTGATTGAGCAATTCACTACAGATGCCTCTCTTTAAAATTTATCCTAATGTGGTGTTCTAAGGGGGATAATATCAGAATCTACTGGTAGGGAGGGGAAGAATTTTGGAAGGTGTAGGGCAATGGGATTCCAGATTCTTTTTAATGGTGTTGGTGTCCCAATTCTATAGATCCTGAAGTCCTGGCAGTATTGTTTTGTGGTCCAGAAGACCTGCATAAACAGACACAACTGATGTAGGATGATGGTACAGTAGTGGACTCAGGGTGGGGCACATTTCTTCTCTTTTTACCCTCTTAGTCTTAATCAACTGGCACTTCTACTTCCCATTCCTATGTGGGCTGCTGTTGAAGGGAGACTGAGAGGGCCAGGTGGCAGTAGGAGTGGGTAGTCAGCAAGGTGGGTTTGGCCCTTGATATAGTTTAGATCGGGGATGGGTAAATTTTTTTGGCCCAAGGGCCACATCTGGGTATGGAAATTGTATGGTGGGTCATGAATGCTCACGAAATTGGGGGTTGAGGTGTGGGCGGGGGTCAGGGCTCCAGCTGGGGGTGTGGGCTCTGGGGTAGGGCCAGAAATGAGGAGTTCAGGGTGCAAGAGGAGGCTCCAGGCTGGGACAGTGAGTTGGGGTGCGGGAGGGGGGTTAGGGTTCCAGCTGGGGGTGCGGGCTCTGGGGTGGGGCTGGGTATGAGGGGTTGGGGGTGCAGGAGGTTGCTCTAGGCTGGGACCGAGGGGTTCAGGGAGGGGGATCAGGGCTGGGACAAGGTGTTGGGGGTCAGGGTGCAGAAAGAGCTTAGTCTTCCTTTGGACGCTCCAGACAGCCTATGAGTAATGGCTGCCGCAGCCCTGCAGAGACATGGGTCTGAGTCACCTGGTACTGGACCCACCCCTCAGAATGCCAGTGTTGTTCCACTGGGAGACAAAGGGTTCCTGCCATACACAAGAGCTATATAAGGCAGGGGAGTGACATCATCGGGGTTCTCTCCTCTGCCTTCCCACCCAAAGAGACACTGAAAAACACCTGGAAGCAAGAACTGAACTGGGGAGAGAAGGGTTGAGCCCAAGCTGGAAGGGCGTCTAACTTGTAAGTAATAGTACCTGAGGTCTCAACAGGGAGACGAGTGCAGCTGCCTTTTCAAGACTTTCTGTAATCTGTCTGCAACAATATCTAGGGTGAGAAATACTATCTTTAGGGAAACAAGCTTAGTTTGTGTGTTTGGTTTTATTTGTTTAGTAATCTGCTTTGTTCTGTTTGCTATCTTTTTAACCACTTAATCTACCTTTTGTAGTTAATAAACTTTTCTTGTTTATAATATAACCCAGTTTATGTAATTTCTACCGGGGACTGGGGTGGGGGACAAGAAGTCATGCACATCTCTCTTCACATTGAGGAAGAGGGCAGATTTTTATGAGCTTCTGCT